AGAGAGGGAGAGAGGGAGAGAGGGAGAGAGGGAGAGAGGGAGAGAGGGAGAGAGGGAGAGACGGAGAGAGGGAGAGGAAGAGGAAGAGGGAGAGGAAGACGGAGAGGAAGAGGGAGAAAGGCAGAGGGAGAGGAGGAGAGGGAGAGAGAAAGAGGGAGAGAGAAAGAGGGAGAGAAGGAGAGAGGGAGAGGGCACAAGTGACAGAGTAGAAGAATGGCAAGGAAGTAAAAGAAGGGCGAGTAAGAGGGAGAAGAAGAGAGGAAGGGAAAGCGAGAGGGAGGGAGGAAGGAGAGACGGAAAAGAGAGCGAGAGAAGGGAGAGAGAGCGAGAGGAGACAGGAGAGTGCACGAAAGAGGGACCTCAACACGGGAATGAGGGGGGAAGAGGGTGGGAGGAGGGGAGGGGAGGGGGGCGAGTAGGTGGAGTGGTGGAAGGAAGGAGGTGAGACGCGGGGAGGGAAGAAAACACAGAAAAACATTGAAGTCAGCAACCGGAGTTTTTCCAAGAATAGACGAGTAATTCCAAATCCCGCAACGAATATATTAATAATATTATGTACAAATGTAATAATGATGAGGGCGTACTTATACTGGGATTTTCGGCTGAATACTGCCATATTAACAGCCAGATACATGCCAGAAAGTCTGAGTGGGAGTATGCCTTGAATGATTAGAACTTTCTTAATCTCAGCACTCGGCTGACCATCATCACCTCTTTGAGGCCTTTTTCTATTTTATTTCTTTCTTTTTTTTTTGCGAAAAATACCATAATTGTTTTTTATATTGGACCTTCATCCTGATTTCCACTGGATCGTGCTGTTTTCTCCTTTCTAATTCAGGAAAGTTACTTCTTAAAGACGTCCTGTTCGAGTTTGCACTGTCCCATATGCCGCTGTCAGAATGTACCGTACGTGCAAGCAAAACCCCATGCATGTACATGTCCTTGGACGTCGAAGATGGCCAGGTACATTTCGATAGGTACTTGTAAACAAAACCCCATGCATTTACATGTCAACGTGGAAGATGGCCAGGTACATTTCGATATAGGTTCTTATAGATCTTTGAGGAGAGGTTCACAGCCGCTTTTTTTTTTTTCCCCTCTAAAAATAACCGTTGTCGTCAACTCCATCGTCTCCGAAGCATCTAAAGAACCCGAATCGACCGCCCGGTCATTTTAGATGTATTCCAGGCAACTTTCAGTCTAGATACAGCGATAATGGCTCGGCGTTCTACTCGGGGGAAAGAAGGTAGGTAAGCGTAGTAGTGTTCGACAGATGAGAGAGCACATCAGCATCTGTTATATTGTACGGCCCCGATCATCCGATGAATCAGAGATCCCGCCGTCCAAGTCCCGATCCGTACGACGGGGTCGATCAAATCTCCATCCGTACGACCGTATCGGTTGTGTGGAGTCCCGATCCCAATCCCATGGAAACTACCGTAAATCGACAAATCCGATGAGTCGTAGATCCCGTCGTCAAGTCCCGATCCGTACGACGGGATCGATCAAATCTCCATCCGTACGACGGTATCTGCGGTCTGGAGACCCGATCCCATGAGGTTTCAAATGCTTTGCAAGTCGACGCTTCACCAACGAGCCAGCGACCTTCGGCGCTTACTTATACACCATGGCCGAAGCGGGCGGCGACCGCCCGACTCTGCTGCGCCAACGCTACATACGACCAGTAATGTCAGCAGCGACCGGCGTAAGCTGCAGTGGCCACTCTATGTACGACCAGCCGTAGGTGGATCGTCAGCCTAAGTCTTTTCAGCGACCAGTATACAATACAGCGTCGACTTTCTGTACGACCAGTCGTAGGTGAATTGGTGGATCGTCAACCTAAATCTTTTCAGCGACCAGCATACAATACAGCGTCGACTTTCTGTACGACCAGTCGTAGGTGAATCGTAAGTATTTTCAGCGACCAGCATAGACTACAGCGACCAGTGTAAAGTAAAGCGTCGACTTTCCGTACGACCAGCGACCAGCATAGACTACAGCGACCAGTGTAAAGTAAAGCGTCGACTTTCCGTACGACCAGCGACCAGCATAGACTACAGCGTGCGTCTTCTTTATTCATCTTCTTCGTCGTGGCTGAGTAGAACGACCGGTTATTATCGCTCGCTGTATGTAGACTGAAAGTTGGACAACATACAGTCAGGCTACCGTCTTCTCCCGAATACAACGCCCTGGTTGTAATGACCATCTTCGAACCATGATGTACGACAAGCAGTCGTTGGTCAGCCTACAGGCTACCGTCTTCTCCCGAATAGAACGCCCGGTGTATGTAGACTGAAAGTGGCACCAAATACGGGTACAATGACCGGGCGTTCTATTGGGGTGAAGACGGTAGCTCTTGGTTTGCCTCCCGATGATGACCGGCGCGCAACCGGTCAGGCAAACGCGCGTAGGAATACAGCCGGGTAATTACTTATTGCTGTATCTGGACTGAAAGTTGCTCCAAACACAGATATATGCCCGGCCTGAATTCAGTCGACATGAAGAAATGTGTAACACAGATATATGCCCGGCCTGAATTCAGTCGACATGAAGAAATGTGTCTTCTTCTTCTTCTTCTTCTTCTTCTTCTTCTTCTTCTTCTTCCTCTTCTTCCTCCTCCTGGGGTTAAGCGCTCATCTTGGGGCTTAACTTTCACCCCAGTCAGCTTAGCCGTTTGGTTGAGCGTCCTACTCCTATTTGGGAGGTCGCGTGTTCGATTCTTGGGATCGGCTCGTGCACGTAGGATAGGATTCGATTCTTCTTCTTCTTCTTCTTCGTCGTCGTCTTCGTCGTCGATGCTTGATCCAAGGAAGAAGAAGAAGAAGATCGGGCGTCGTCTATTCTTCCTCGTCTTCGTCACCTTCGTCCTCCCTCGTCGTACACGCCCGATCCTCTCCTCCATCCTCCCCCCTCTCATTCCCTCTCCCGCGCAATGGGAATACAGCCCTGATCCTCACAGCGACAAACTTTGATATTGCCGCGGCCGTGTACGTCCTCGATCCAACGATCGACATCCAACGACCTACATCCAAAGATTGACCCTCGACATCCAACGATCAACATCCAACGATCAACATCCAACGATCAACATCCAACAATCAACATCCAACAATCAACATCCAACGATCAACATCCAAAGATCGACATGCGACTGCTTGCTATACTACTCGACACCAGTTACAAGGGCGGACCACACAGAGAGAGAGAGAAAGAGAGAGAGAGAGAGAGAAAGAGAGAGAGAGAGAGAGAGAGAGAAAGAGAGAGAGAGAGAGAGATTTTCGTTCCCTTTTTCTGGGGTTTTCCTTCTATTCGCGGGGGATGCCCCCTCTGCTTTGTTGTTGCTTGTTTCTTCGCCGTTCTTGTTTCTTGATCGTCTTTCTCCGTAAATACCATCTTCCCCCGAATAGAACGCCCGGTCATTATAGCTGTGTACTTGGTGCAATTTTCAGTCTAGATGCAGCAACAATGACCGTACGTTCTATTCGGGTGAAGGCAGTACTGACCGCGCGTTTTATTCGGGGGAAGATGATAGACACAAGCTGCAAAAAAAACAACACATATATATATCCCATCAGAAATGCTAACGCCTGATGATGATGATGATGATGATGTCATCAGAAATGCTAACGCCGGTGAGCGATAGTGATGACATCATCATCACCCGTTGCAGACTGTGATAGCATCATCATCATCATCATCGCCTGCTAGCGATGGCGATGGCGATGACGTCAGTATCCATGGCTCTGGCAAATTTCCTCTCCTCCGCCTCCTCCCCTCCTCCCTCCCGCCTCCCTCCTCCTCACCCATTATAGCCGGATGGCATATCATATATGGATACACAGCCCCATCACCATCAGGTTTTTTCGCGATTGTCCAATAACCAATCACCCCCATCAAGCATCACATGATGACAAAGATCAAAGATGACAGACCTTCGTCATCATCAGGAAATGCTGGCGATGGTGGCTGATGATCTGACCCCTCTTAGAAAGATGCTAAAGCTTCGTCATCATCAGGAATGGTGGCGATGGCGGTCGATGACTTGAGCCCGTTTTAACAGAGAGAGAGAGACAGAGAGAGACAGAGAGAGAGACAGAGAGAGAGACAGAGAGAGAGACAGAGAGAGAGACATAGAGAGAGAGAGAGAGAGAGAGAGAGAGGAGATAAGCAAGATCATGGTAGAGAAGCATCATCCCCTTTCTGTTGGTTGTTCCTCGGATTTTTCTTTTTTTTTTTTCCTTTTTTTTTCCCCCTTCAAGTTTCCTTCGATCTGGCAAGAAATCAATACCCTCCCTCCCTCCTCCCCCCCACCCCCCAAGAAAAAAGAAACCAATCAACGACTCCACCATACGCTGTTTGGCAAAAAAAGGTAAAACCTGTCTCGACAATACTACTACTCTCCCTCCCCCCCCCCC